CCTGGCTCCGACTCTAAGGGAACCAGGGTGTCGTTCAGTAACGGACATTCCCGTCCAGTCTTGGTTGACTGTGTCAGCCACGTCCACTGGGCTGTCCACAGAACATCTCACTAGGTTGCAGTTCTCGCATTCACATGGCTCTGAAGATCAAGCGATTGCGTCCAATCCCGTCATCAACTATTCTTTTTTGTGACGATGATTTTTTCTGATGATTTGGTGTGCGCCTGCATTTTTTGAACACAGTGATCATTCTGTAGTATTCCTTTAAATGAACCACTCGCCTCAGTACAATTGTTTACACTTTCAATGAATGTAACTATATTTGTATAATGAAATAGCCCATTCTCAGGAAGGGGGAAGCAGCCAACAAAAGGGCTGCCGCGCACCGAAAGTGATTTGTCTGTGGTTGGATTCAAACAGATATCCTCCGGCGTGATAACTTGGTGACCTTGATCTCCGATCATCCCTGATTGCAAATCAGACGCCTCATCTACATCACAGAAGTATGTCCAGTCACCAGGTGAAAATGGATCGTCTACTATTGGTGACTAAAACTTCATCAAAAATTCTCTTCCGTCACACCGGAGCAGTTGAGAAAGTGACAAAAACTTATGGTTGACAGAACAAATTCTAGTGAAGTAGCAGTGGTTGTCGTCAAACCGTTGTTCTTAAACTGTACTATAATAGTTAGTTAGACATTAGTCAGATGAGGAACCAAACTGCAAACAAGCAGTAACCGTTCGTGACAGCACTGCTCGGACCACGGTCTGCTCAGCAGAACGATGTGCTTGTTGCGGTGGCTGTATGCTTAGGACAATCGTTCAGAAGGTTTCTGTCACCGAAACTCGAACAGTTACCAAAATAAAACAAGGATGATAAATATTCAGAAAATGTTAATTCCACGTTTATAAATTCCAACTGAGTAAACACTAAAATGCAGAGAAAACGAATTCTTTGTGGGTGCGGTTCGGTTTGTCATGCTACTCATAAGTAGTCAAACGCAAAAGGAAATACCAATTCATGGGATGGAGGGGGTTCGATCAAACGAACTCTACCAGATTGACATAACGAAGAAGATAGGAGAAGGAAATTCGGCAGAGATGGGTCATGAATCTGTGCACAGATGATTCATTTCCCCACATGGTGTTAGTTCCAATGCAATCAATCCTCTGGAAACATTTGGCCCTATATGCGCAACATGTATCTGGCAGAAAGACGTAAGACGACGTAAATTGTTGAAGTCATTCAGATAATGCATTCGAGGCTGAACTCATTTTCGTTAACTTTGTTCAATGCGATAAAAACACAATATAACAATACAATACTGGGCTATTTTCACTCCTAGTTTCCTTCACTAAACACAAAATGACGTGCCAATCCACCAATCAAATACAATACATTTGAGAGTATCATACTCAACCGGCTGACGTTTTACACATGCGTGTCTTTATAGCAAGTCTTTTTACCATGGAGTGTTCACAGTGTCCGTGGGTATCCATCCATCGAACGAAATGCTGTGCCAAGAGGCATGTCGGTGGAAGGTAATAAGTATCGTTTCACATTAAACGCTTAGGTACAATACTCGTTAGCTAAAACGCTGCTTCGGCTGTTGATTCCTTGCGATTAAGTATGGAATCTGAAATTTTGTGGTACCCAATTATCTGAAAAAACTTTGTTCTTAACAAATGTGCTATTCCGTTTTTCAGCACATTGTATGACGGCACAATACATATGCTAGAGGATCGTAAAACGCATATACACTGTGCATCAGAATGACAGCCACGGTCTACCACAGCCCACTCCTAGAAATTTGCTTAGTATTCCCAAAGCACGAAGATCGCGGAGTGGCTAGGTCGTCAAAAACCCACCTGGTTGTTCTGAGTTCAAACCCCCGTCTCCGCGCTCATCTCCTCATTATCTGTATTCCCCAGACAGCGGGTTTTGATGCCGCGACCCCCTTCCTGAAAATTTATTGTAAGTTTATATCATCAATAAAAAAAGGAAGTCAAACCATCGAAAAAGTACAAGGCAATAAGGCGACCTGAGTGGTACTCGCTGAATAGTCGTCTCATACATTCGGTACATGTTACCGTGACCTTGCTACTGGTCGGCTTTCCATGAATGTTTATTTTGATGTATGCAGATAGAACGCTTGGTAACATCGTTGAAATAAGATTATGACTTAAAAGGTTCAGAACATGTGATAGGATAACTTTTTGGCACCTGTGTTGTGAATGCGTGACGCATTGTAAAGGTCCGTCGAATGATCCACGGCCATGGCCTCGATTGAGCAATAGACCGGTGTCACTGGCGTGGGACACCATGGGTAAATCCCGGTTTGAAAGATAAATCGGGGTATCAGATACGAATGATAGATAGAAGAAGGAGTGTTTAGAGAGAGATACTCAAACGAAATATAGGGCTCAACATTCCAAGGTGGCGGGGATGCTGATGTAGGGACTCACTTGGGCTGATGGAAAGAGTGGACTTATTCTCCACTCTTATAAGCAAAACGGTTAGAAGTAACTCAAGATAATAAAACCACGGTTAAAACGGACATCAAGCCCTATTTCCCTGTAAGGTCGCTTCTCACGACATTATGTTATTGTGTTCCTTTCACCGCATTCACTGTATGAGGATGATAACTTTTTCAGGTGGTTGGCCTAATCTTGTCGCATTTCCCCGGGAACCCTCTTCGCCCCAAGTTCTGTGTACCAATTGTTGTTGAGCTTGGTCATTGTTTATGTTTCCTCACTAAGTGAGGTGGATTTTTCAACGCACAAATCCGACGGGAATTCATTTATTTAGGTTACTGAATGACTTGAATGGCTATGGTATTTTTCTAATTCGCTGTCTTTTACTCGGTTTAAGGCGGCGGATAGGCTGATCGATCTCTCCGGCGTTGCCTTCTGTTTCCATTGTATTTCTTTTGCCGTGTGATACGTCTATTTCGCTTTGGTTGGTCCCTATGTTTCATGAATGGAGAAACTAAATCGATATCAATTTGTCAGTTGACCGATTTACCTGAGCGATGCCAAGCTTTCAGGTATTCTATTCAGTGTTTGGTGTATAGTTCTCGTGGATGGCTTCATTGTTTAAAAGGTGGAAATTTTCTGGCCTGCTCCTTGTGATTGGATCAGGGTAGGAGTGTGATAATTGAGACAAATACTCCATCGGTCAACTGGGGAGGAAGCCAACCAGTCAGTTAGACAAAATTCAACTACCCATTGATTCTGTTTCCTATCAATTCATGTGGATCTGAAAGAACACGAATTCTAATTCGGAACGTTCAAAGTCGGCTAAGCACTTGACGGAATTTGCTTTGGCCACTCTGGTACGAGCAAAGCTATGGTTGACGTGAAGATATGTATACACTGTTCGCCAAACAAATCATGGTACAATAATCTTTATGAAGAAGAAAAACATTCCATAATTTACATGTGGGCCGAATACTGCTATGTTGTTCAGTCAAAGGCAGCTGAACTTCCTTGAGGAATCCAAAACCGGAGCCTTCGGCTAGCCAAAGCTTGACCCGCAAGGCGGTGTGAAAACCGCAGTCCATTTGGGGTCGGTATCCAGTTCATCGGATCATACGCCCTTTGCATGGGGTCAAACGTCCAAGGTGCCCAATACACCTCGGTGACCATCGCCACAACTGGAAAGGTGTGTGTGGTTCGTACGCCTCCCCTTGGATGGTTTGGAATTAGGGCTTTTGTCAACTCCCCAAGGCCACCACGACCAACCCGGATGTCGGCTTTTCGTTCTCTCACTTTGGTGGGAAAACAACTCCGCCACGAGAAGGCAATGAGTAGGGCTTCCTCAACAGAGGCTATTTGAGAATTTTGGTCGTATGGAAGAATTTAACGAGGTACAAGGGAGAAGTGACCAGCAACAACCCTAGACACCCGCCCCCGATCATTTAGGATTTAGGAGGCGTTGACTTGAAGAAAGCCTGGTTGATGAACATATCGAGTTCTGTGATGTTTTTGTATGTGAACTGCTCAAAGGCAGTTCGCCAGCTTGGCAAACCACTTACAAGCAAACAAAGCTGTCCATATTTTATACAGCTATTGAGTTTCATATTGTGTAGTGGTTTTAAAATTCTAACATTCCGTTGGATGTTTTGTGGTTGTCCGCGTGCATTAGCGAGCTTTAACGAGAGTATTTTTTCTGTCCACATGCCTATCACGTTGACACGTATTTCGTTCTGGGAGTTGCTGGTTTCGTTGGTTAAATCTATGCTGTCGTTTATATCTGATCGATCGTGGAAAGCATTTAAATGGAAGGCAAACAGTTACCTGGACATCGAATAGTCGGTGGTGATATCATGTAGCACTAGACAGCTGTTACATCCTTGTTCGAACTCATCAGTAGCGTGTACTACTTTTTTGCACTTATCGGCAGTCGAATCATAAATGTATGGGTTGTCAGTTGCACGGTCAACATTTGCGGCCATAGCTTTATAAATTAATGTTTTTGAAAAAAGATTATTCACTATGATATCTCAAACACGGGGTAATCGGTGTGGTTCCCTGGCTAAGTGTCGGAAATATTTGAGAATGAATGAACGTCCTAGGAACGGAACCCATACACAAGCAATATCACACAAACCCTCAGCACATGTCCGTTCACGAAAGCACACTCCTCAGTGCTCAATTTAAGCTAACCACTGTTCGCAGACAGAGGTAAACGCGGTGTATCAGTAATCGGTTTGACCTCGTAAATGCATCATGTTTGGTTGATTTAGTGCCTAGTTTCAACTGTTACTAAAATGTTATATTGTTTTGGTGTTTCAGTGCATTGTCACCGCACACACAAACTGTGACCTGGTCTTTGAACACTAGTTCACCGATGCATTGGTAACTTCTCTGATAATGTTCTACTCATAAATTGTGGTTTCCATATTCCTGCTTCATCCCTCTATATTCACTTGTTTTTGGTTGAATTTACGTATTCCCGTACCCATGTCCCATTTATTTTTACCTGCCCTCACTAAAATAGCGTTTTCATTAATTCGGTACGTTTCTTCCACCCGGTCCCACCGTGTCAGGCCTGTTTCGCCGTGTGCATGTGCCCATTTCTGTTCTTCCATGTCACTCGGTCACGATGGCTGCAAATATCCACGACCGCTATTCGCTGGATATCTTTCCTGCTCATGTTGTGCTTGGCCGTTGATCGTGCTATTGTGATCCGCCAAGACCACACACTCACACTGCTAAATGCGAGCCATGCTTGGAACCCGGCTGTGCATCCGCTGATGTTCGAACCAAATGGTTCGGAAGAACCTATTCCCAATCCGCCTATCATTTCTCCGAAAGGCATTCCCAATATGTTTGGCGTCTGTGTGTACGTATTCATGTGCCATCATTCGATCCCGGGTACAGTGACTCCGATCCGGAACAAGCGCCGCATCATGATTCGTCTTTTTCTCCCTCTATTTTTCTCTGTGTTTGCATTTAATATGCTTCTTTCGGGCACTGCGGTGGCCGCGTTCAACGAGATCAAAGATCTGTACACGCTGAACTTCGTCCCGAACGAACAGGCAAGCAAAACGTTTCGCATTCCGTTCGTATTGGCTCAAATTTTCGGCTACTTTCTCGCATTGTTCCCAGTTTTCGCACTGAGCTCCACATTTCCGATCTTGGGTTGTACTTTGTTGGGCAATCTGTCCACATTGTGTAACATGTTCCCGGTTTGTCATAGCCCAAAGGCACGGCACATACTACGCTTTACTCTGCCGTTCATAGTCCTTTTCCCCCCTATCATCATTGCACTGTTAACTGATGATATTGGATTCTTGGTAGGATTTACTGGCGCGTTTGCCGGGACCGGGATACAATATGTTATTCCTGCCGTTTTGGTGTATAAAGCGCGACGGTACATGTCCGAGCCGGTAACCGAAAAACTCGAGTCCTATTCATCTGGGATGGATGATAAGCAAATGCTATGCCCTTCCGACGAAGTGCAAACACGGACCGCAACTTCTCGATCTCGCCTATCTGGCTGCTTCTCAGCGCTGTGGAAAACGCCCTGGAAAAAAGTCAACTCACCTCACGCCTCCCCATTCCAGCACGTCCTGTGGATTGTTGGACTGATGATTTGGTCCGTAGTCTGCCTTGTCATAGTTTTGGTGGATAAAATTCATCCTCTGTGATCATACGTTCCTGATTCACAGTTTATCCCCGAATTTCAGCCCATCTCAAAGCGGTTGCTAATCTATTGACTTTTTTTACCACCTGATTTGTACTGAGAAAAAGTTTCATTGATGCATAATATACAGCTGTTCACCCTTGTTTTTGGAAACGCATCCAGCCCTTAGGTGTTATTTTGGACCTTTCTTCACAATTGATCTTCATGCCTTTTTAAACAAATTTGTCGAACCAATGATGTTCATACAATCAAGGCGAAGACGAGTGCTTCAACGCGAGCAGTTTCGTTTGACCCTGACAACCATCAGCTGGTAACTCGGTTTTTCGTGTACGAATTTCGTATCGCGATGTTTATGCCTGCCCCTTTTTCAAATCAATCTTTCCAGCCTGTAGCCCGAAACAGCATTGCAAATTTTGGAACTAACGTTCAGAATTATCTTGAGGATTGTTGTCGCATTTCACTGATTTATTCCATGATGCTGTCCCGTGTTTAGGTGAATAAATTTTACATGAAAACATTTCCTGAGAAACATATAATACGAAAATGTGCGCGTGTTAACATTAAATCAAATTTCCTTAATTTGTTTATATGGTCAACCATCTTTGTGCCCTAATTATGTCTAACCCTTCTTAGATGCGCTCATTTTTGTTACAAATTGAAGGATTTTCTTGTACTCAATATTCGCAAGACCGGAGGTTGTTACCAAAGAGGCGTGATTGAGTTTGTGGTCACCTTATGAATATTCAGGAGTATAATAAGGTACTGGACGGATTTGTTTTCCGCTGTTGTCGCTGTAAGAAAACAATTTCTCTTCGAAATGGAACATTCTTTGAGAATTCGAGTGAGATAAAGAGAAAACTGGAGGTAGTTCCCGGCTCCGTTGGTGATACGAGCTGGAAACATTTGGACGATGTTCAGTACCGCCATTGGTTTCATTTTTCCCCGTTCGACAATGAGATGGACATAGAAACGTTTTTGCAACACATCAGTTAGCGCTATCGGACCGATTAAGGCGCCTGTTGATATTTTCCAACTATTTTTTTACTTAAATGCATTTTATAGCCACTTTCTAGTCTTTTTTTATCACATTGGTATGTAAGCGCGATCATGCTACTCATGAGCAGTCAGTATATTATTGCGATTTTGGATAGGGGGTCGACTGTCGATCAGGTTTACCACCTGGTGATATAACAATATAAAATTGTGGACTTAGAATGTAAGGATCTTATACATAGAAAACTATACAATGCATATCAAACTTCTGGGCCACGTGATCCTTGGTCCAGTATTTCTCATCACAGTACTGCTACTGTAATTTTGTACTGACATTCTAAACCCTCCCTGCGCACCTAACCTTTGATTGGATGATGTTTCAAGGAGGAAGGCCACTGAATGTGGGCTTTGACCCGAGTCACTCAGCGATGCAGATTATCAAAATTCAACCGTCGTTGAGATTTCGCGATATATCGCTCTTTCGTTGTTCAACATGGGGATTTCGGAGACATCGTTAGCCAAGCCAATACAATTTTTATGCAGCTATCACTGAAGCCAGGGCACACGGGAAAAAATGACAAGTTGATTGCATCCCAAGCTTGTTGGTAAATGACTAAAGACGACTATCCGAACGCTAAACTTCGTGAATAGTCTATCACTCGGTTACCCTTCAGTGAATAATACAATGACTTACATGTTAATTATAAGTGGTCCAATTGGTATCATGGCAGTAATCGTGGGAACTTCAAAGTGTAGGTACTATGTTATCGGTACCCCGGGCTAATACGTATAGGTCGCAAACGTACGTTCGTACGAGGAGAGA